GATCACTGACCGGCGCCTCCTGCACGCCCCGCCCGGGACTGGCACTCACCTCCTTGACCACCCGGTAGTTGTAGCTGCTCGTGCTCTCGTGCTTCGGGGCCTTGCTCCCCTCCTAGGGCCAGAGGGAGCGTGAGTGCTTCCAGCAACCTTGGCGCCTGCGCGTTCGCTGCACCACCTCCCCATCCTGCTGGGCTCCTGCCCGTCATTCGCCGCCCGCCCGCACTCCCCTCTGCCTGTCGTCACTTCGCTGACGTGGGAGGTGGCGGCCACACAGCGGGGAGAGTGGCCCTGTCCCGAGGTTTGAAAGGGAAACCTGGGCTCCTGCACTGGGGGCCTGGCTGTCTGCACCTATTTCCTAGGGCAGCCCACAGTCTGCACTTCCACCTGCAGCCAGAGGAGGGGGCCTGCCTCAAGGGGCCCGTCCACCTCCGTCAGGGGCGCTACGGGGCTCCACCCACCTCCGCCTTCTTGTGCTCATTTTCCCCAGACACGCCGTCCATGGCCTCGTCGGGGCCCTGCCCCTTGTACACCCAGAGCTCGGACTTCTCCACGATGGACCTCAGCTGGTCCAGGTCCTGCTTGATCTGCTTGTAGTTGTCCACGTCCTGACTGGTAACCAGCAGTTGAACCTGGACAGATGCAACCCATTAGTGGCAACAGCGGATCACACACATACACATGCACACACATGAATGCACACACATGCACGCATGCATGCAGGTCACACACATAATACACAAACACTGGTGCACCATATTCATGCACACTCATGCCTGCACCATAATTCACACGCACATGCTCACAATAAAACACATGTGCACACATGTATGCATGTACCATACTTCACACGTGCAGTACATGCATGTGCACGCACACACACGTGTGCAGGGCGCCCGACTACCTGCTTGAAGGCCTGCAGCACCTCCTGCCGCTGGCTGAAGTGCCGGAAGAGCAGCTGCAGGGCCCCCGACACCAGGGGCGGGTAGTCGTGCATCGTCAGGTGCAGCAGGACCCGGAGGAAGGTCCTGCCGCCGTGGTCGTCCAGGTCCAGCGGGGTGTTCTCCTCACTGCAGGGCACATGGGAGGGAAGCGGCAACTGAGCCCCCACACCATGGGCCCAGACAGCCTGCCCCCTGGCTCCCACCGTGGGCCTAGACACCCCGTCCCCCCGTCCCCCCGGCTCCTCCCCACTGCAGACCTAGAAACGGCCCCCACTTGGGTTTCTAACACCTGGTCTATCCCACGTGACCTGACTTTTAACTAGCTCCTTGGACACAATAACGGTTTCATCTTCAACTACATTGTGAGTGTGAGGGCAGCACAGAAGTGTACGCCTGGGGTCAGCCCCTTTTTCTTTCGATTATTTCCCACCATTCCCATAAATCTTGTAGTGTGTGTATTTGGGGTCACCTCCTTAAATCCTCTCAGTTGTAGGCAGGACACACACACACACACACACACACACACACACAAGCCAACTAAGATCGTTCTGGCCTGAGTACTAAGAATTACAAAGAGGGCCCCGCCTGCATGGGTCAGTGGTTGAGCTGCAACCCAGGAACCAGGAGGTCACAGGTTCGATTCCTGCTAAGGTCACAAGCCCAGGTTATGGGCTCGATCCCCAGTAGGGGGCGTGCAGGAAGCAGCTGGTCCATGATTCTCTCTCATCATTGACATTTCTCTCCCTCTCTCTAAAAATCAATAAAAACTGACAATCTTTTTTTAAAAAAGTAGAAGTACAAAGAGAGCAGCAAAACAACCTCAACCAGAGACCGGGCTCTCCCAGCACACGGGGAGGAAGAGCCATGAGAGCTGGTGAGAGGACGCCCCGCCCCCCGCCCAGGACCACCTCCATGCAGGGACTGGAAGTACTCGCCTTCCTCCGAAGATGCCCTCCGCTTGCTCCTCAATGTGCTCAAAGTCCAGAGCGCCTGCAACGCGAGGGAATGGACCTCAGATGCAGCCGGTCTGAACACGGGCTGCGGCCCACCTCCCCGAGCCTTGCTCCTCCTGCCCACGGTCAACCTCGCGTCTTCTAGAGCTTTCCACCAGAGGCTGGGCCAGCTCGGCCCGGGCACACCGTGCAGGACCCCTTCCCCGTGACCCCTCAGGGTCGCCCTCCTGCCGAGGGCTCCGGCCTGGACAGGGGGTGATTTCCGTCACCACCTCGCCCTGACGCTTCCCCACTGTTTCCTGGGCGGGAAGGACGGCCGCTGGCGGGAAAAGTTGCTAGTGGGAGGTAAGTTTCCTTGGGGAGTTTTTTGTTTGGTTTTTACTTGACATTTCATGTAACCACACACTGGAACCCTCGGCCGTCTCGGACCCAGACCCCCAGGATGGAAGGCAATGAGCCCCATCCCAGGAGGCCCTGGGCTCCTTCAAACATCCCCCTGCCCTAACGAACCCAGGCTCTCGTCCAAAAGACCATGATCCCCCAAACATGCTCCCCTTCCCCGCTTCCTATGACACCCTGAATGGATCGGGGGCGCCGACCCGGACGCACTCACCGGGCACGCTGCCGGGCGCCTCCTGGCTGCTGCTGCCCGAGGACGCCTCCGACGTCTGGGAATTGCTCTCGTCGAACTCGCGCTTAAATATGCACAGGAGGCAGGAGATCCTGTAGTCCAGCCTCACGTTCAAGATAAACTGCAGGTTCAAGCGGAA